CCCCAAAACCCCAAAACCCCAAAACCCCAAAACCCCAATTAAAAATAATAAAATAGAAGGATTTCATACAATTTTAATAAAAATGTCAGAAATTGGAAGAGAACAGAGGAAGAATAAGAAGAGAGTGGTCAGCAGTTCAAGCCTTTGAAGAGATATTGAATGGAATGATTTTGAGACAGGGTTTGAGTATAAGTGACTTCCTGGTAAGAATTTAGGGGTTTGAAGGGTTTAGAGGGAGATAAGGAGGGAATTTTGGGGTTAGGATTTTTTGATAAATTGAAGAAAGAAGGAATGTGAGGGGGTTTGAGGTGTTGGAATTGTGTTTTGGGTGATATAGGTGGACCTAGATGCTCATTTTGTAAATTTCTTTAAATCTTTTGTAAAGTATTTTTTAAAGCTATTTAAAATTTTATGGTTAAATCTTCGCTCAAATACTATCGCCCATCTCCAAAACCTATCCCTCATCAAAATTTTTACCAACTTTAATCACCTCCAAGATCAAACTCACTTCTCTCACCACTCTCTCCACCCCAACTAGCCCTCTTTTCCAACCCACCACTTCTCCCTTCCCTCGTCCCTCCCATTGCTCTATTCTAACTCCTCTTACAGTTATCCAGTTAAGTCTTAAAAACTTGCCTAAAACAAATCCGAAGAAGCCAATGTACCCCTATTGTGCATCCATGAATAAAACCCTGTGCCTTCCCAATCAATCCCATTCTTCTTCTCAATTCTAAAACACCTCAAAATCCTCGTCCAATCACACTGCCTAAATCTCTTCCTAAGCAAACTAAAATCTCTCAGCTGGATCCTGCCAGGATCCAGCTGGGCAAGAATTTTAGAGTGATTAAGAAAGACTTAAAGATGGTGACTGGACTGAAAGGATTTAGGAAGAATGCAAGAGTTCAAATGAAATTTAATTTAAAGAGAGTAAGATTTTGAAATTAGTGAATGTGAGATTTATACGGAAAGGAAGAGATTAGGAGTTGTAGGGACGGATTATTTATTACAAATTTTTATGAAAAATTATCCCAGAAAATTAAATTTCTGCTAATAAAAAGTACCATTAAGCTAACCCTACCTTCCCATTTAAACCTCTTCGTACTCAATTTACCGTCAAAGTCCTCTTCTTCACCCTCATTAGCTCCGAGAACGCCTAAAACTCAACACCCAACCGCCCAAAAAGACCTCCTTCCTTTCCCTGCCAAAAGACCCACAAGACCCAGAACCTACCAAACTAATGAACAAGTCCTTCCAAATCCAAGAATGCACACTCCTCAGCAGTAACTCCTTCACTAAACAATAGGGACTCTTTCAAACCAAAAACTCTTAAAGAACGTACAAATTCTTAGCTCACCGGATATAGACTAAAGGATTTTCTAAAGGCATGAGAATTTCTAGGTAAGTAAACAGAATAAAGAAGAAGCTGATGAGGATAGGATTCGACTTCATTTATATTCATTCTTTTACTATCGTTGCCATTATACCAGAATTTCATTAATAAAGTATTTGTGATTTTCACCCGAATATCATTCTCAATAATATTAGTCAAAAAGAATTGGGGATACCTCTATAACTGAGCTAAATAAACAAGAATTTAGGTTGAGCTCAGATTTTAAGCATCCTTGAAAAGAAGCGGATAGCAAGTGGAGACTGAGCAAGAGGAAAGATGAGATGAAAGGTAGTTATGGGGTGCAAGAAAAAAGAGGAGACCGAGGGATGATCAATATTGGATGGAGTTTGAAAGGTAAAGAAAGGGAGGTTAGAGATTATAGATAGAGGAGATAAGTAGGGCTAAAGATCGAATGGATTGATTGAAAGTACCCAGTATTCCGAATTTAGCAGGCTGTGTAAATAAAGAAGGCACAAGTCTTGTAGATTCTTCAAGGTCTTCGGTGTTCGGATCAAATGTAAAGGTATATTAATGTTTTAGGATTTTGGAATAAATGAAGAGTTCAAAGCATCAGATCCATATAGTAACCAAAACTTTTCAAAAGTCATATTTCACCCAAGAAAATCTCGATAAATTTAGCATCAATATTTCAATTCAATGTTACTTCTCGATCTTGGGGTTTTGGGGTTTTGGGGTTTTGGGGG